GCGGGTTCCAGCAGCAGGCGCCGACTGCGCGACAGGCGGCCGCAGCCGCAGCCGTCGAAGCCGCAGACGATGTATTCGACACCCCGCCCCAGCAGACCGACTCGGCGAGACCCTTCGATGCGCTCGACACGTTTCCCCGCCGTCACATTGGGCCGTCTGCCGAGAGTGCGGAAGCCATGCTCAAGGCCCTGGATCCGCCCGTGGGCAGCCTAGACGAGTTCGTCCGCCAGGTTATACCCGCTGATATTCTGTCGGCGCGCGAGTTGAAGATTGGCAGCATGTCCGAGGGGCTGAGTGTGGAGGAGTGGCAGGCCCACGGCGTGCCAGAGTCCGTCTTCCTCAACACCGCGAAGCAGATTATGAGCCAGAACAAGCCGGGCCAGAGTCTGATCGGACAGGGATACTATGGCACCAAAGTCCCGGAGGTCATCAAGAGGAACGTCCTCGAGAACCCCGCTTGGTACACTAGCTATACCCCATACCAGCCTGAGATCAGCCAGGGACGTCTGGAGTCGCTGCTGAACTTCCAGACTATGGTCTCCGATCTGACTGGCCTGAGCATTGCAAATGCATCGGTGCTGGATGAGCCTACTGCGGCGGCCGAGGCCATGACCATGTCCATGGGCATGATGCCTCTGTCCAAGCAGAAGAGCAAGAACAAGACTTTCCTCGTGTCGGAGAGGTGCCATCCCCAGACTCTCGCCGTTCTTTACTCGCGCGCCGAGGGCTTTGGTATCCAAATTGAGGTCGCGGATGTGCTCAAGGACAACAGCAAGAGGGTGGAGGAGCTAGGCCAGGATCTTGTCGGTGTGCTCGCGCAGTACCCAGACACTGACGGAGCTGTAAACGACTTCCGCGGTCTCGCTGACAAGGTGCACAAGACTGGTGCGCTTTTCAGCGTTGCGACCGATCTTCTCGCCCTCACACTGCTGACTCCCCCGGGAGAGTTTGGTGCCGATATCGCTTTCGGAAACGCACAACGATTCGGCGTGCCTCTGGGCTACGGTGGACCACACGCGGCCTTCTTTGCCTGCGACGAGAAGTACAAGCGCAAGATTCCGGGTCGTCTGATCGGTCTGTCAAAGGACAGGTTGGGAAACCCTGCGGCACGACTCGCGCTGCAGACCCGAGAACAACACATCCGTCGTGAGAAGGCTACTAGCAACATTTGCACGGCACAGGCTCTGTTGGCAAACATGAGCGCCATGTACGCTGTGTACCATGGACCCAATGGCTTGACTGCCATCGCTAAGCAGGTCGTTGCAAAGGCTCGCACGATCCAACAAGCCCTCATCGCCAATGGCTACAAGACCGGCCAGCGCGGAAAGATGGACAACGCACCTGTCTTGTTCGACACAGTCGTTGTCGAGACTGGCGACAAGACCGACGCCATCATCTCCGCACTCGCGAAGAACGAAATATTCGTACGAAGGATTGACGCCCATCACGTCGGTATTTCTGTCGATGAAACCACTGGTGCGAATACCATCAACAAAGTATTGAATGTGTTCAACGGAACTCGTAACGACTGGTCTTTTGCCGAATCTGTCGACATTGAGGTCCCTGAGCCATTCAAGAGGACCAGCGAATTCATGACCCACCCAGTCTTCAACTCGCACCACTCCGAGACAGAACTTCTTCGCTACATCAACCATCTTTCTTCAAAGGATCTGTCTCTAGTTCACTCGATGATTCCTCTTGGTTCCTGCACGATGAAGCTCAACTCCACTGCAGAGATGGCACCTGTCTCGTTCGACACCGTTTCCAACCTGCATCCCTTCCTGCCTCTTGACCGCGCCACTGGATACTCTGATATGATCAAGCAGCTGGAAGACGATTTGGCCGACATTACCGGTTTCCACTCTGTCTCGCTACAGCCCAACTCTGGTGCTCAGGGTGAGTTCACTGGACTTCGCGTTATTCGCAAGTACCTTGAGCAGCAGCCTGGCAAGAAGCGCGACATCTGCTTGATTCCTGTCTCAGCCCACGGAACCAACCCTGCTAGTGCTGCCATGTGCGGAATGCGCGTTGTGCCTATCAAGTGTGACCAAGCGACCGGTAACCTGGACATGGCCGACTTGAAGGCCAAGTGCGAGAAGCACAGCGAAGAGCTCGGTGCCTTCATGGTCACCTACCCCAGCACCTTCGGTGTCTTCGAGCCCAGCGTGAAGGAGGCTTGCGACCTGATCCACCAGCACGGCGGCCAAGTCTACATGGACGGTGCCAATATGAACGCCCAAATCGGTCTCTGCTCACCCGGTGAGATCGGCGCCGACGTCTGCCATCTCAACCTCCACAAGACCTTCTGCATTCCCCACGGTGGCGGTGGGCCCGGTGTAGGCCCAATCGGCGTTAAAGAACACCTCTCGCCCTTCCTCCCCGGCCATCTCCGCGGCGAAACCGGTGGCGCCCAAGCCATTCATCCCGTCAGCGGCGCGCCCTGGGGAAGTGCCAGCATCCTTCCCATCAGCTGGGCTTACATCAAGATGATGGGCGCCGTTGGCCTCACCCAAGCCACAAAGATCACCCTCCTAAACGCAAACTACATCCTCTCCCGCCTGAAGCCGCACTACCCCATTCTCTACACCAATGACGAAGGCCGCTGCGCTCACGAATTCATCCTCGACGTCCGCGGCTTCAAGGAAACCGCTGGTATCGAAGCTATCGATATCGCCAAGCGCCTCCAAGATTACGGTTTCCACGCCCCCACTATGAGCTGGCCTGTTGCCAACACCCTTATGATTGAGCCTACTGAGTCGGAGAGCAAAGCCGAGTTGGACCGTTTCTGCGACGCGCTCATTAGTATTCGCAAGGAGATTAAGGAGGTTGAGGAGGGCCAACAACCCAAGGAGGGTAATGTGCTCAAGATGAGTCCGCATACACAGCAGGATCTCATTACGGGCGAGTGGCAGAGGAGTTACTCGAGGGAGAAGGCGGCGTATCCTTTGAGTTATCTTAAGGCAAAGAAGTTCTGGCCTAGTGTTGCGAGGTTGGATGATGGTAAGTCTTTTCTCTGTCCTAGCTTTTGTGAGGATGCAGACTAACAGTGCAATAGCATACGGCGACACAAACCTCTTCTGCACATGTGCGCCTGTCGAGGGCGAGGACAGCGATATCACGGGTGCTGCTGCGCCCACCCCGACTTAAGCGCTCACCCATTTCCCGCTCACAGAGGCGTGCTCACGGACCTATTTTCACGGCTTTTCTTTTTACCTCTTTGCATCAAAGGTGCGGGGCTCTATAGGATAGGCCTCTTTCTTCAACAAGCACCCCCAGCGTGGGTGTTCTGGCGTCTTTACATTTACATCACCTTGGCTTGGCTTCAACACTTGCTGGTCGATGAATTGATTTTTGGGGGCTTTACGAATGCATATGTGGCGTTTTCCTTTTGCTGGGTATAGATGGTGCTATGATAGCTCGGGAATGAGATGATAGTTTATGACGCAAAACGTTGTGTTTACTGAGTTTTTGTGGTTGATGTGGCTTGTGTGACGTGGTGAAGATGGTTGCAAATGGTGCTGAAGACCTCCACGCCGACATCGCGGCTTGTGCGCGGGCTGTAGGGCTCACGTGCGCTGCGGCCGCTGGCTTGACCGTGTGCGTATAAAAGCTTCGTTCATGCTGCTCACTTGCTTCTTCCTCATATCACATCCTTCCGGGTTTCTCCAAAAAAGACTGAATGCTGGAATATGGCGTCTCTAAAATCAATTCTGGGTCGATTCATGAGATCTGTCTCTTCCTCCTCTCCAAAATACCCACACCAAAAGCGATAGACAGTATCGTCATGTCTTGCCCGGTTCCTCTTTTCAAAAATCATCGGTTGGCACTGTACATGGTGCCTTTGCCCGCCTTCTTCTCGATACTTCAAAAGTCGACACAGAGCAGACATGTGTGCTTCGTCTGCCAGAACACATCTATCCGGCCTCTTATGGCTGTGCAGTCTCTCTTCTCCTCTACAACATTCTCAGGGTCAGCGACCAAAAAGATTGTTACTTCATTTCAATGTTTGCGGGCTTCTGCTCCCGATCAGAAAGAAAACTAAAAGAGAAATGGGATATGGTGTTCTGCAACCCTTTTTGGAGTTTTCGAAAAAGCACATCGCCAGATCTATGTGTTCGCCTGGCCGAAAAACTTCTTCGAGTATTGCAATGACTGGTCTTCTTCTCTTCTCCTCGCACATCTCTGAGAAGCGGGAACTAAAACATGCCTCGATTCATCTCATGGTTTCCGCCTCTTCTTCCTTGCCAAAAATGGCGTCAAAATGCCAGATGGGTTCTCTCGCCTCTCCTGAAAACTTAAAACTACTATAGACATGTCCAATGTGCTTCCAGTATCGGAACCGGAATGCGATATTTCTATGTCGGTCTTTCTTCCTTTCCCAGAAAATGCCACATCCCACTGCTGTGTGATCCTGCGGTTTCGAAAAACGACACAACAGATTACATGAGCTTCTGCGGACCAAAACGAACCCTAGAGCTGGCCATGTCTTCTGCAAAAATGCGACTCTCTTCACATCATGAGTGCGAAAATAGCCACGACGAGCGCATGTCTGAAAGCAGTAGCGGAGAAAAAGCACGGGTGCTGGCGCTGCTTTGACCTGTTTACATGTGCTGTAGACGTACCAAAAGTCGAGCTTAGAGTTTCCATGTTGGTAAAAACCGCATAACTACGTGTCATGAGCTTGCTGCTCGCGCTTCTTGTTACTCATGGCTAAAGTGTGGTCGCTGGAAAGAGTCTAGTCAGCGATGAGGGCATGTATAAAAGTCGCGAGGTTGTGCGCTCCCTCTTCTTCTTTATCACTCACTGCGTCTGGCAGTTTACTAAAAGTTCATCGATGTGTTCGGATGGACAGACCAAAAGCGTACGAGAACTAGGCAATGACTGCGGTGTGGCGAGACGTTTCAAACCCAACCAGGAAAAAGATCATGGACGTTGCTTCCCTCCTGCTCTTCATCACGAGCGCACTCTCCAAATCCAACGCTCCCATTTCCACGACACCATCAATCCACCTTGGCAAACAGATCATCCGCAATGGCATCAATCGCCTCTCTACACAAAACCCTCACCTCCTCCTTTACGTACGATTCTTCCGCAAAATATTCAAATCTCCCCCACCACAACCTCCATCTTCCCAACGAAAAACCCGGGTTTCCATCCCAAAATTCCGTATGCACCGCGATACCTCTCTGCAAATCGTCTCCAAAGACCGAGTTCTCCAAGCGGTACATGTGAGATGCGCCGATGATGACCCATTTAGCAGCGGCTGTGAGGTCGTAGTTGAGAAGTTCATTGGCATCGATTGCAGAACGCTCGAGGAAACTTGGGCGAATGTGTTTCTCGAATTCAGCCTCTCTGGATTCTTTCTTCGTCTCAAGCGCTTCCCGCAGGCAGAAGAAGCCGAACATGAAGTAGCCATCATTGTATCCAGAGGTGGCCAGTTTGACGGTGAAGACGTTGTAATTAACCCATCGATCACCCGGTGTGACAGTCGCTTGCTTATCTTCTGGTTTCCAGAGATATCGTAGCCCGGATATGCCGTCGTAATTCTCTCGGTGCATGGATTCACAGTGGTAGTAAACTGGGTTTGGGGTGGGTGGTATGGCGCGAATGGCGGGGAGGAGGGCGATTATGGGGGTGTGTGAGGTGGAGAATTGTGCCACTATGTCTAGCAGTAGATTTGTGACTTCGAAGCCGGTATCTGCGGGTTTTGATGAGGCGTTGACAGAGGTCACGATTGCAGATGCGGTTGATGCAGGTGGGGTGTCTGTGGTGCTGGAGAGATAATCTGAGAGGATTTTGGTGCACTCTTGGAAGGCCTTGTCACCGGCGCTGGCTTTCTGACTGAACCATTGATCCATACTGGATAGTTTGGGTTGTAAAAGGTGTGGGTGTGGAAGTAATGTTGCAGCCGCGGCTCCTGCTCTCCCACTTCTGGGTACGGTGCCTAGCCTCTCTGATGCGCCCTCGCTTGTTCCGACAAGGGCAGATGACTGCGCCACACTCGCGCAACAACGTATATGCCCCCTTTCGCCCTTTATCACGACACCATTTCTCAAGCCAATCTCCTCATAAAGAATTCATATAGACCCAGATATCCGGGTGTGGTTCAATATCGCCAACCGCAAATCCTCATAGGCGCATGGCAACTTTCCACCCCTTCCCTCGTCTGCCCTACGAGCTGCGGATGCAGATATGGGAGATGACTGTTGAACCCCGCGTGGTGAACACTGAAGTCCAGTACGACCGCAAGACCCGACAATTGCCTCTAACGACGTCCACGCCCATACCCGCTGTCCTCCAAGCATGCCAAGAAGCTCGAAATTACGGATTGTATAAGAGATGCTTCTCCGAGCTGGCTGTGCCTACCTACGGAGCGCAGTAAGTGATTGTTTTCCTTGAGACAAAATGATGCATGCTAAGTGGCGATGCGCACCGTAGATACATATGGGCTAATCTTGAAATCGACACCATCGATATTGGAAAGTCCTGTTTTGAGCACTTTGAGAAAGTCGCTGAGTCTATTCGCTACCTAAAGTTCTCCCGCGAAATGCAGGCAGAGTATTTCTACTACGGGGAAGTTAAAGACGTCCAAGACTTTGTCAACGCGAGGGAGATTTGGATCGTGCCTCTCGATGGACTCGGCTGCTGTATTGGAGCTACAGAAGAACACTATTGGCCTTGCGGCGAGGAAAACGTATACTATATTGACCCTGAGAATCCCGAACGAGTTTTCCGAGGCCCTGGTGGAGAATGGGAGATTGCTGATTTGTATGGACCCAAGGCTTCATGATATTGCGATGACCCCTCGTTGGCGAGCTTGCCGACGAGCCCCTGGGAAGTATCGCAATAACAAGAAACATGGACGAAAAGCCAAATGCGAAGACATCTGCTATCGTGGCGCCTTTGGCTTCGCCGGCGTACAAAACGGCAATGAATGTTAGTGCGGCAGCTAGGTTGGCGGGAGCTGGGCGAGTGATCAAACGAGCTGCGATAAGCCATGCACTGGCGATGAGGAGACGTTCTGCGGCGGAGATGGTGTTATCAACATCTTTAAGGCTGAAGAAAATCAAGAAGCTGTTTCCGCTACCACGTCTGCCACTGCCACTGCCACTGCCACTGATACTGCCACTGATACTGCATGTGAGAATGCATCTGACACTGCCTCTGCCGCCGCGGTCGTGTCTAGCGCTGCTGCCAACAAACTCGGTGGGATGATGATGAGGAGTGGAGGCTTTTGGGGACTACGAAATACGTTCTAGTCGATCAATTTCCTACTATTAGCTGTGGTGGTAGATACGCTGAGCGGTATAATCCATGTCCTAATCAAACGTGAGAGCGGAAGACGATGTCATTGCCTTTCGACACGGGCACGCTAAGCGTCGTTGGAATGTGTAGCCGGTTGACGCTAAGGACGAGGGTATAAAAGCATTCATTCTGTGATCTGGATGCTGTTACCTTATCACTTAAGCATCCACTCGTTTCTCCAAAAACAGGAAGTACCACAACGCATGATCGTGGACTCAAGAGAAACTAGTGCAGGATCCATGTGGCTATCTTCTTCGCTCGCCTCAACACAGTACTAAAAGGGTTCATATCTGATTTCTATGCTCCTCCCCTCCACTCTACCAAAAAGACTCAAAGTCCAAAACACACACCATGTTCGCTCATGTCGGTCGACCAGAGAGACCCGAGCAACCCCTCCATGACTCCAACATCACGACCTACGGCTACTAAAACCGCGACGAGTAGATCGCAATGTCTGTGTTGTCCTTCTTCCTTCTTTCCCAAAAATGAAAGAAATTTTCCTTACAAACTGGACACGACCGTCGCTTCCCCGGTGTATAAAACCACCACTTTCACTTCCTCCCTCCTTCATTCATCGACATACACCTCGTCACCTTTCTACCAAAACTATACCCTGTTTTTTCCATGTGGTGCTTTTGTATCAAAATCTTTTTCGATAAATCAAAATGTTTCTGCTGTCTCTGGACTGCGCAACCAGAAATATTGACATGTCCAACCAATGCCTGTCTTCCCGCTCTTTCCTCCAAAAACAAGCGTGGAATTCAAAATCTCTCACTTCAAGGCCATGCAATCCAGAACCAAAAGCTCACATCATAACAAAACATGTTGTTCGGCTTTGACTTAAACAAGACATCTAGAATATTATGATCTAGTCTCTCTTCTCCGCGAAAGTCTAAACACTAAGAGTCAATATTCATGCTCTATGATTGAGAATAACCAAAAGACATTTTTGAACGTTGCATGAAAGATTTTCCCGCTCAAACGAGAGATACATGGCACCATGCTTCTGCTTCCTCTTCCTCCAATACCGCACTTACTCGGCAAAACAAATCAATACAAATATCCACTTCAATCGAAAACTAGCATACCAGGCAGACGTGTGTGCCTCCAAAAACAACCTTGTGACCGGTCTATGTGTCCCTGGATCTTGTTCTCCCTCGTATACCGGATAGCGGGTCCAAATGATATGATTTCCTATCGCTTTCACATCACGAAGAGTAGCAAAATGCCTCAGAATGCTTGTCATGGCTGTGCCTCAACACACGAGCTTAGTGCATACTACGAAAATCAGAACAAAAGCCAGAACATTCTTGTTCCATGTTGTGTTGATAAGCAGCGTTGAGGAATACGTATGAGTTTGGTCGAGCTAAAAGCACCCTGCGGTGTGGTGTATACCTGCAGAGTGTACCGAGTACAGCTAGGGAATCCCGAAAAAAAGACATGTGACAGTCTTGCCGATGTGTAGTATCGTGGGGTACTATTTCGAGTAGATGATGCTGATCATCGTCATGGTCATTCCTCGTAATTGCTCGTATACGTCGATGGTCGTGGTCGTAATGTCTCGAGCTTTTTCATTTGACACCGATAAAGGGACAGTGGACTAGAAATTCATTGTGCCATTGATGTGTTTACAGCATTACGGTGCAGATCAGCGTACCGCCTCTATCGCAGCCCCACTAGCACTCAGCAGCCACGCTCTCTCAAATACAATCACTCTTCTTCGACCTCTTCACCGCAGCGCGATCGATCCTAGGGTCCAACCTTTTCATCAGATCACTCTTATGAGGATTCGTCGTCGATCTTGGTTCGCCCCTCGTAGAGCTGGGTGGATCCACTCTTGCATCTTCAAATCACAGAACATTAGCATAAGCGTACGCCGAGGCTGCTGCGCGCTGAGCACCTTTACGAAAGACATGTGGCGAGCCACCTTCAACGAAAACATGCGACAGCCTGCGGAGAGTGAACTTACGGCTTCGGCGGCGAGATATGCGATGAAGTTCGTCGTCAGAGTCTGGCGAGTACCTTCCCGACTCTGCTGAGTTCTCAGAGCCGTCGTCGTACTGCGACGCGGGCTCTGTAGTAGCGCGGTTCGGAGGAGGATATTGTTCTGGTTCGACGTCTTCATCAAGCATGTTCAAGACGCTGCTTTGATGCGTAGGTTTCGGTTGGTGGTAGGAAGGTTCCGGTTGGCTGTAGCCGGGGCCACGAGCCGATACTTCGTCTGGCATATACGGTGTCGCCTGTTCGGGCGGGTCAAGCTTCTGAGCAGCCTCGAGACCTGAAGCGCCGCTGATTGAGCCACGGAGACGATGGATGTTGGGGTGATCCGTGTACTTCATCGACTCTTCGTCCGACCCGACCGTGAAAACAGGATCGAGCTTGTTCGCAGCCTCTAATCCGGACGAGCCGCCGATGGAACCGCGGTGTTCATGCGGAGGATTCGGGTCATGCTGGGATTCGTGTGGCGGGTGCCATGCGTCGTTGAAGCCTTGCGATGGCTGCCATTCGGCAAAGTCTCTCTCGGCTATACAGCATCAGCATCAATTTGAGAAAGGTGCTGAGAAAAGGAGGTCGTGTAGTATGTGTAGTTATTCGGGATACTCAATCTCACCTGTGCCGTCTTTCTGCGCTGTATGAAGTAATGAACGAACATGAGCTGTGACGTCAGCGAGAACAAGTGGATGAAGATCGGTAGGTACGAGGAAAAGGGTATATTGATGTTGAAATGCTCAGTGTATCGTCTATCTACGCGTTTCGTAGCCCGTACCGCCAACTTTGGATGTAGGATCAGCGCGGTGGTCTACGTCCGAGTCGAAGCGCGGGTCCATCTTGTTGCCAACGTTTGTGGAATGCGGTCCAGCGTTTGTAGAGTCGGTCGCGGTACCTCTGTGGTCGAGGTCAGAGTCGTACCTGGGATCGACCTTGTTGCCAATGTTGGAGTTGTGCGAGCCGTAGTTTGTGGCCGTGGTGCCGGTCGTGTTCATGCGTTCGCGGTGGGCATCGGCGTCAGCAGGAGTGACACCGGCGTCGGCAGGGTGGCCTCGGTAGCCTCGATCCCACTCGTCGACTCCCTTATTGGCAATCTCCTGGTTCTTGGTTGCGCTCGCTTTATCGCCGCTCGCTTCGTCGACCATGGACATGGCATTGCCTCGGATGGCCTCGCCAGTTCCCTGGATATTGTTAGCATGAGTTTGATGTCGAGGTACCTCGAGAGATTGGAGTAAAGCGACGATGTTGAGCTATAGGCGCATGCATCGCAGCGATAGAACTGACTTACGTGAACCATGCCCACACCCTTGCGGATAGAGTCGCCGAGAGTCATGTTGGATATGTGGGTATTAGGTGTATTATGGATAGCAGTTGAGAAGCTTGTGTAGTTGTGGAGAGACGCGTATAGGTTGGTATATCAAGGTGTGTGTTGAGAGTAATCGTGAACAAGAAGCCAGGAGGGGTGCCGACATAAGTACTCGACGCGGGCAGTAGCTGCCACGCAACTTGCTTCTGGGTTTGCCATGATGTGCATCGTTTGCGCGTAGTTTGGGAAAGCGCATTGCGACATAGGCTCGACGATGTGATGTCATGCTCGGAATTTCAAGGACGCGCTGCCGGCAGGGCTGAACTAAGCCGCATTGGGGTTCCCACGCGTCGAGCATGACATCCGGCACGTTGCGGTGGGCTCCATGGCTACGAGGGCACCTCATACAAGGAAAAGACCTGAACGGATCTGGAGACTACATTGACATTAGGGCACCTACTTTGCAGGTTTATATGTTTATGTAGGCTGCAGACCTGTTTAGCTTTTTCCTAGGTTAACGTGAGGGCCTGTCATAGATGAATGCATCGAAACGGATACGGACGTCAGAACATTTGCACATGAAGTTGAATGATGATGTCTAGAGGTAACATGTCGGTCTCTGATGCCATTGTCAAGTCGATCATGCCACCCTGCCAACCACGCCCATACGCGCAGGCGGTAAAATGCTGTGTATTCGAGCTCTTGAAGTACATGAAATGATAAAGTGTTCTCATCCATTCACACTACAGAACTCGGCCAGAGCCACTTTGCCGTATCAGCAACCTGGCCAGGACGTGAAGAGTCATACTCCAACCAATCTCCACTCTCGGCATTGATACTTCAGTATGACCTATCAAATGTTCCCATTATGTGAAAGCGCTCCTCGGTAACAGAACTATCTCGACGCTGGAACATGAAAGCGGAAATCATTGCACCAAAGAGGCCAAATATGGGGATACTGAAATCTTATTCTCTCGAGGAGACTTTCGTAACGTTCATCATCATATATGTCTAGGCATGCGACTTTTCTGTCCTCAACTCCATGATCGCACCACCTCTAGACCGCGCCCATGTCACTGCCGTCCCCACATGCACATCCACCAACGCCGTTTCCCCGAGACCGGAATCATCGCCGCGTCGTCTGTTGGGAAGCCTCTTAGGCCTTGCCGGCGGTGTAAAAGTCCTCCAATGCTGTCTTTAGACGAGCCGACATAGTAACTTCTCCGGCACGAACCTTCGGGAAGTCAGTATATGTCTCATATGCACTCTGTATAGTCAAAAGCTTACCCAAACCCTCGGATCGTAGAACTGAGCGCTCAAGTCAGTGTCTGTTCCATATGTAGTCCATACAGAGTTACGTACCTTCTTATTTGGCTTGCCCGGGCCATCCGGGTTGCCAACCTGGGACATCAAGTAGTCCTTCTTGTTCAGGACGTAGTCGCGGACACCGGAGAGATAAGCCCATTGCATATCTGTGTCGAGGTTGACCTTGACGACACCGTATGAGATAGCCTGACGGAAGTCGTCGACAGAGCTGCCACTGCCACCGTGGAAAACCAGGAAGACAGGCTTGTCATCCTTGGCATTGGTCTTCTCCTTGACGAACTGTTGGTGCTTCTGGAGAAGCTCGGGACGTAGCTTGACGTTTCCTGGGGAGTAGACTCCGTGGACGTTGCCAAAGCCAGCTGCGATGGAGCTAGACGTGTGTCAGTGTTTGTCTCACTTGAAGGTAGTATCGAATTGCCATACAAGTACTTGGATACTTCAGAGAACTCTCGGTAAATGTCCTAGTAAAAGTCAGTCTGTGTCTCGTGATATTAGCGAGTTGGAGACTTGCGTAGATGTCCTCGGGTCTACATGTAGAGATTAGTACGGTTCTGCAGTGAAATATGTAGAGGCATTAACATACTGCGTGTAGAGGCTGTTGTTGTCGACGTCCTCGTTGTTGACACCGTCCTCTTCTCCACCGGTGATTCCGATTTCCATCTCGAGGAACTGCTTCATGGGAGCGGCGCGCTGGAGGTACTTCTTGGAAGTTTGGATGTTCTCCTCCTTGCTCTCTTCTGAGAGATCGATCATGTGGGAGCTGAAGAGGGGCACGCCTAAAGAGATACCAAGTCAGTAGTTGTCTCCGTGGACTTGGTACAGTCAGAACTTACCGTTGGCCTTGAAGAACTTCTCATCCTCATCGAGCATGCCGTCCAACCATGGCAGAAGCTTCTTGGCGCAGTGGTCGGTGTGGAGAACGACTGGGATGCCGTATGCGGGCGCAATGGCGCGGATGTAGTGGGCACCGGCGATGGCTCCCTGGATGGAAGCGCTCTGGTCCTTGTTGTCGACGCCCTTTCCGGCAAAGTATGCGGCACCACCCTGGCTCATCTGCAGGATGATGGGGGACTTCGAGTCGCGGGCGGCCTCGAGAGAAGCGACAACGGTCGAGGAGGAGGTGACGTTGATGGCGGGGATGGCGTAGCCCTCGGCCTGGGCGTGCTTGAAGAGGTTGTAGACATCCTCACCGTAGATGACACCGGTCCTAGAGAGGGGAATGTTAGCCTCAGCTCGCGATCATGCGAGCGGGGTCGATGTAACTTACTTGCCGTTGAGAACCTTGGAAGCCATGTTGGTTGTTGTATCGGGTATGTATTGGGTATGTGTTTGGGTGTGTAATGGAGAGTACAATTCAGTGTCTGAAATTGTAGGAAGGTGTGGTATGGAGAGAGAAGTTTGCGCAGTGTTGAGAGCTATCTAGTTAAAGTTCAAACATGGTAGTGGGGTTACCGGACCACAAAAACCACCCCGCTACTGTAATGACCGCAGCAGTGACGCAGCGCGCAGCGTCGCGCCAGCTTCCCTCACCCAAAGTCGACCTACCCGCGCTCGAGTAAAAGCAAACATCACCCCACAAAAGTCCCGATACGCTATATCCGATACCATGACCTTTGGTTTGTCAAATTCTTTTCACACCGTGATGGCGCTGCGCTGAATCACTGCACCCAACCGTGGGTGATGGCAGTGCGCAGTGACATGCGCCTGGTCTGATACACGATGATGCTTCACGGCCGCGCTCTGAAGTCATGGCGGGGCCGCTTTTGCTCGGCAGCGCGGAAGTAAAGTGGGCTGTCTTTTTCACATTAGCTCGGTGAAGCATCATCGCAGTCCACAGGTGACATGTTGTCCGAGTCTCGCCGCGAAACGCTATCACTTTACGCCTCGAATTACCGAGCCAGCCACTTCTTCCATGTTACTCAGCTCCGTCCAGGCATGCGCCAGGTCCCACCAATGAAGTCACTCTGATGATGCTGGATTGTACACATGCGCGATATCGTGATCGTGATTGAGGCGTTGTCTGATTTTTCCGATATGCGGAATTCTACGTGACATGGATGGCACAGGTATATCTTTACAGCGAGGCGGAGGGATCCTCGGAAGGTGTGGCCTGGGCCTCCAGATGTCCGAGGTTGGGGTCTGGGGCTCGTAACAGCCGGCTGCTGCAGCCTCATGATTCCGATGTCTTCGCTCTGACTCGGATGTTCCTCACCATAGACTCCTCTACGCCGGGTAACCGTATCTCCACCTTGAATGTGCCCAGCTGCTTCACACGCGATGTGTCTCCCTCCTCATGCCCTGAGAGGAACTTGACGTCCGCCTCGTTCAGTATTACGCGAGCCGCCTCGTCGTTGTGGGCGAGCGCTCCCCTTATGGTTGCTACCAGATCTGCAGTCGAGACAGATCCGTATATGGCGTCTACAGATGCCTTCTTGCCCATCGCGGCTGCAGTCAGGATGTCTGCCGCACCAGACGCACCCATGCGGTCTCTGGACTGGCTCTCTTGCTCGATCCGTTGGCGATAGAAGTCGATTGTGGGTGGTACGAAGGCGTCGAGGAGTTCCATAGATCGTTCAGGCTGTCCGTGTTAGTGTGCGTAGGAATGGCGGGTCGATATAAACATACGCTGAGCACGTTGATCTCAATCGGCCGCACGTAGTGTTTCGGCTGCTTCGCGAAGTCGTCCTCCTCTTCCTCGACCTCCTCCAGATTCAGTCGTACGCCATATGTGAAGTCACGGGCCATATCCACGTCCTGCGCCTTGAGCTGCTTCATCTGGATAGCGGGTACATAGTCGGCGACGCGTGCGGGAAACCATCGGTTGCGCATGAGAGATGGGTTGAGGGGAACATATGAGCCTTGATCGTATTAGCCATATTGACTGGTGATGTTTGCGGTCAGTTTGACAGCTTCAGTGGCTTGCCAGAGCGCACATGTCAAACTTGTGCAGTAGCTGCATCGTACCTGCGCGACCAAATCTTGGCACATCCTTCAGCAGCTTCACGATGATGTTGCGCTCTGCCTCCTTCGCCTTCTTGGAAATGCTGCGAGTCTGCTGGGACCCCCAGACGTCCAGATTCTGCCGCGTCACCCTCCGGATGCATGACGTGCACTGCGGGAGCAGCGTGGACGTCCTCAGCGAAGCCATTGCGCGTGTCGTGGTGAGATTGGATTAATCTCAAGAAAAATGCACGACGTCCACCAGATGTGGAGATCCTTGCGGCGGAGGGCGGAAGGTGCGAGTGGCCGGTGCTACTTGCCGTAGGCTCGGCATACTTTGCGCCCGCCTCACAAGCAAACGACAGATGACGGCCAGCGCAATATCCCAAGCTGGCCAGCAGTCGGACCATGGCTTCTGCAGCAGTCAGACACACCCTACGCCATTCCCATAGCATCTTCGCCGTACAACCTTAGCACGACCGAGCACAGTGTTCGCGACACCCTACACGACCCCAGTTTCCCCATCCAATCCGGCGGTAGCGGAAGTGACAAGCGCCGCAAGATGCCTGAGAAGCCCCTCACAATTGCAACCTACGCCGCAGGAGCCTCCCTCGCCGCCATTACCCTCGTCTATGTCTTTGGCCCGACGTATTTCCTCGACGACGACGCAAATGCAGCCAGCGGCAAGAAGAAGGGCGTCGTCGGCCTCAGCAATGCCGCGAATGACTGCTTCATCAATTCAGTGCTGCAGGCGCTTGCGG